TAGCCTCGACCCAGTGCTCGGATGACAGTAGTAGACTTTGCGCTCACCGTAGACAGCACACATACAGAACATGAAAAGTTTTATTTGCTCATCCGTAACTGCAGGGGTCTTGCGGAAAAATTGGCAGGGTACCTCATTAAAAATGCATTGTTGCGTCGTCCATCTGCCACATCGAACCGATTGCAGGCAGCAGCTCGACGGGCACGACGCTACTCTTCTTGTGGATTACTTGGCCAGCATGAACAAACAGTGCATTACTTTATTGTGACGTAGTGCTCTGTGAACGCTTCTGGACGAAGGCATACAGCTGGTTAGTCACTGAAGCAGCTGGCAGGCTTCCATCGATGCGCTGAAGCAACCCTTGCTTCTCGTAGCGCTGAACGAGGGGCAGCGTTTGTTGTTTGAACACCTGCAGACGTTTCCGGAGGGTCTCTTCATTATCATCCTTTCTCTGAATCAGATCCTCGCCAGTAACCTGGAAGGCAAACATGAAGCACGGCAGGTGGACCTTGCATGAGAAAACTGCAATGCGTACGCTTGGTTTTGCACGTCTCTCCTACGATCGAAGCTCGCTCCTTATCATTTGATGAGTCAAAGCATTCCTTTCCTATGAAGAAATGCTCTGCTCCTTATCGTCATTTGATGAGTAAAAGCATTCTTCCCTTATGAAGAAATGCCCCAAAAATTAATGGCCAGTTTCCGCCAACAAACATATAATCATGCAAGAAGAAAAATGTCCTCCAGTTGAAGCACTCACATCATCTTTGCCCGGGACTTTCGGAGGATGGAAGACAGTGTGGTAGACACGCCCACTGGGCGGATGAACGCGGCGCCCACTGATCCTTTGAATCAGGACATCTTCTGGGGTGTCGAAGTATACAACGCCATCAAGCCTCTGTTTCTGGGAGGCGAGGAGCTTGTCTAGCTGCGGAACAAGACACAGTAAGAAGGCAACAGAGCCATAAGCTCCCCTGTGGTTGCCGGTTTACAGAAAAATCTGCTCGGCGGAGCTAACGGCACATCAAGGCAGCAAACAACGAAAATATCACACGGGGGAGGCACAAGTTCGGTCGGACACTCTCATTCGATCTCTGTTGCTCGGAACGCTGTATCGAAGTTCAAATAGCACCCTAGCAGACTAGGCATTCAGGGAACTTGAAAATGAGATATACTCATCGATTAGTGTTGCGTAGTATGTCGTAAGCAGCCACGCTTCTGTGCGGAATGCTCACAGCATCTGCCTGCTCCTGATTCCTCGGGTATCCATCCAGAATAAAACCCCGAGCGCAATCCGGGCTCTTTATTCTTTCAGAGAGCAGCTCTAAAACTAGGTCGTCCGGAACGAGCTGGCCGGCGGCCATGATTCCCTTTGCCTTTTACACATTCGCGCAAGGCAAATGCTGAATGCTTGTCTAAAATTTGTGGGCATTTGCTTGAAACCAGTGTATGATGCATGAAGACTTGCTGACTGCACTTGGGTGGCATGAAGTCAACGCCAACCGTACGGTGCCCTGTTTAAATATTACTCAGTAGTTGTTCAACTAAAGGTTCGAACAACGGTGAAATTGAGGGGGCAGTGCATGCAGTCGCCGCAGCTATTTGAAACCCGGTAACATCCAGGCAGGTCTTACCTTTTGCCCAAGCTCTGTTCCTGCCGCTACAGCGTCGCGGAGCATGTCACCCGTTGAGATGTGGCAGTAGCAGTGAGTCTGCTGAAGATTCGCACTCTGTGTGCCTTTTCCCGAGCCTGGGGCACCTAGAAAGACGTATCTGAAAGCAGCACAAATGGCAGAACCCCCAATTTGCCAAGTAGAAGATAAGGATTTTCTTCTGTGTCCCGGCTGGGCACCTCGACTGAACTTGCCCCTCCCCTCGCCCACTAATTTCTTTCCCGCGGAACTGAAAACCAGGTGAGCAACGATAAGCAGCCATTCTCCTACCGCCCTTCAGGCTTCGACAAGCAGTTATATCTCCGCTTGAGTTCTTCAAGCAGATCAGCCGTCGAGACTTTGTCTAAAGCGGCAGCAGGGCTTGCCATTTTGTCGTCGCTGCGAACACAGCAGAGACCGAATCTTCTCTCGGGAGGCGAAAAGACAAGATGAACCCCATATGGGGAAGAACTACTAACGAGAAGGACGTCTCACAGGGGTATACATCAAGGAGACATCGGAAGCCCAAATTGGCACTTCTGGCGAATGTTGAGACTCTTGCTTCATTTTAAAAGACGTTTACAAGGCAACTGTTCTACTCGACAGAAAAAAGTAAGAATAGACAGCAGTCTCTCTCTATGAAAAAATGTACTGCAAAAACAATCATCGAGGCAGTCTTTAGCGTGCGGGGAGGTTCTGCATTACCTATAAGGAGTCTCCACCTACAAGCCGTCACAAGAATCAAAATAAATGTATTTAAAAACTTAGTTTTAAAGCGTTCAAGGCGGCAAACCGGAACTCTGAGCAAAATGGGCCCCATGACCTCCTGAGGGCCCCGACCTTGCAACATGGCGCGAAGGCTGCATGCATTATTTTGTACGTTTAAGTCTTCAGCGCCTCCGGGTTTATGGCAGGCACGAAAAATTTGCGCAAGTATATTTACAGGGGCGCGTAAGCGTGGACATACAGTCCCCACTACACTGCAATTTCGCCGTCTATCTTGCTAGACTAGCAACCTGTTCCCCAAGCAGGTATACTGTAGTCAGTGCCTCTACAATTGCATTTGCCTGGGCATCTTTGAATTTATCCTTGATGTGCCGAACGTATGCAAGTTTCTTCACCAGGCCCACTTGGGGGGCCGTTCGGCCCACGCTCCGACAACACTGAACGAACTGAATTGGCAACATGAACTGAATCGCTTAGAGAACGAACAAAAGAAAGCTCGCATATGTAGGCATATGCGTTACCCACCATCTCTGGGTTATTTCCGGCCATATGCAGCCTGTGCCAGTAGCTAAAAAGCCTCGCACGTTTTCTCAAGCCCCAAGCAATCCGCAGGGTTGGATATAATCACACAGCTGTCACTGGCAAGCCCTTCACTACTGATAAATGGCACCGGGAGACAACAATGTGAGACAAATCAGAAGAGCAGACATCATGACAACTGGCTGTACTGCGTTGACTTTGGTGTCCTTAAACTTCAGTGTCTCCATTACTGAAATTCTCCCCCTGCCTCCCTCTTTTCACTCCTATTGCGGCTCTACCACTGCAACAGCAACTACACCATGAGCGCCGCTGCTATCTTTTGCAGGACCCCGTCATACTGGGAAAAATGGGTTCAGTTGCTGCTTCACTCACTGCCACAGATGATGTTTACTGTCACTGCTGCCGCTGTGTTCGCTGGCAGCACCCTGCTGCCCATGCTGCAATCCTAAGGGTAGTTGTCACGAAGCAGAATGAGACGAAGAAGAATGAGAAACGCAAGAGGTGAGGCTTAACTGCTGCAGCTGCCTTTGGTGCTGCAATGACTGCCCTTAGCAGCCATGGCCTTTGAGATCCGTGGCTGGGTGCAACTGGGGAGGCGAAAAGTTTCGCCGTTCCTCTCCAGATGTCTCCTGGACTGCCTCTCTGCTGCTGCAGCTGACCTGAAACCGAAAGAAGCAGAAGTAGAGGCAACGGTAGGTAAAGAAGCGCACTGCAGATGGCACACAGCACTGTCCAACTCGTTGGGCCATAGGGAAAGCCGAGAGCTTCAAACAAATAGTACGGAGATGCTTCCTCCTGCAAAATAGTGTTCACGGCAGCTCCAACCCCAACAAATGCGCAAAATAAATCTAGCCACGTCCCCATGTTGCGGGTTGTGCTCCTGCTGATGCTTTTGCTGCTGGTGTCGGCAACATTTATTTGTGCTGCACTCTTTGGGACCCCGCGGCCAGCATCGACCCCGGCCCGTTCCTGCGGCTCATTTCTGTTGCTTTGCTCGCCTGTGCTGATGCTGCTGGCTGCTGCAGTGTCAATGCCCTGAACTATCCGCATACGCTGGGCTTGTCGCGCCAGCAGACGTTCCTGTCTTGCTGCTGCCCTCTGACGCAGGACGGCAGTCGCGTCTTGCTGCTGCTGTTTCTCCTGTGACGCGTCCGCCGGAAGTGAATCAGTCTTCGGCGCCTCCATAACTGCAATCAGATTGTTTTGGAGACTGCTCTCTGTGTGTGAGTTGGTCTCGGGAGCGGCACGGGCAACCCAGGAGAAGCAGCCAGAGCAGGCGGGGCGTTACCCACTAACAGGCACACTGTGTAGATGTTTCTGTTAGAGAACAGACGCATGAAGCTCCGGAAATAACTAAAGCCACGTGCGCCTTCTTCTAAACAAGCCCTGCATGCCTAGGAGCAGCAGCAGCGGACGCTGCTGCTGAGGCAGCTGCAGCTCCGGTAACGGTGGCCGCCTCCTTGCAGTTTATTTCTATGAATTGTGTTACATTCATGTAGTTTTTGTAGATTCGCAGCAGCAGCTGCTGCTGAACGGCCTCTGCTGCTCGTGTAGTAGCAGCAAGAGCAGCAGCAGCAGCAGCAAGTCAATGGTTGGCCTTACCTTCGCCATTTTTGCGGCACCACTTGATGGCTTTTATTAAATTTTATGCCTATTTATTTGCTCTGTGAATCCAGACGTGACATCGGTCCCGCTGCAGCGGTAACAGCTGCAGCAGGGGCAATGGCTTGGGAACAAGGCCAGGTACATAAGCCTTTTTTTCCTACCATTTCCAAGTGCTTTCGCTGTAGGATCTGACCACACCTAGCAGAGGCATCAGCTACAAAACTTCAGTAGTAGGCACGGCAACTAACGCCGACATAGTGGAAGCTATTGCAGAAGAAACTTCACTTTCGGAAACTTCGAGACGCCAGAGGACTCTGCCCAGTATTAAAACAGTTTATGTAATACAAACGCGGGGGCGAAGGACCGCGCAATGCACAGAAGGAGCAGCAGTAGCGTGCGCAGGGTCGTGAACAACTTCATAGTGAGCGCCGGGTTTGGCAACAGCAGCACGAACAGCAGGATCAAGAGCAGCAAGCGCAAATGGGGTCCGCGTTGAGTACCGGGAAGCATCCCCTAATAGATTCGTCCTTGGTATTTCCAGCCCCCCCATCTTCATACAGCTGCAGCAGCGATGGCTTGTTGCTGCTCCGTTCCCGGTTTGCTATCACCTCGGGATCTCCTGCGGCAGTGCCAGCGTTCCTTGTGGTTCCTTCTCCACAATCTCACCTTAAGCTTGCTGCAGCCCTAAGGACAGCTCGACTAGCTGCTGCTGCTGCCGAAGCAGCAGTCGCTGCTGCTGCTGCAGCAGGCGGCCTCCCTCCCCAGCAGCAGCAACGCCGTCGGAGCAATATAGAAGGGATATGCGCATCTCCAGCCGCAGTGGCAAGGACGGAGCTGAGTGATGGAGAAACCGAGCGGCAGCAGCAGCTGTTCCAGCAACTGGAACAAAGGAGAAAGGAGCTGCAGCAGCACATGCTAGTGCTGCAGCAGTTGCAGCGAGAGCAAAGGCAGCAGCGGGTCCTGCGCCGCAGACAGACGCGCAGGGCCTTGACTTCACAAGCTGAAGAACCAGCAAGTACGACAGCAGAAGCAGAAGGTGGAGAAGCAGAAGCAGCAGCATCGGTAGTCGCTGCTGCTGCTCTTACGATCAGTTCAGCAGCGGATACTCCTGCTTCTCAGAGGGAATCATTCCTTCTCTCAACAAGTTCAGAAGCAGGGGAAGCGAGCGCAGCAGCAGCAAGTGACGCAGTATTGACAGCAGGAAAGAGTGGCAGCTACTGGGACACGGAAGCCACGGGAGGCGGTGTAGGCAGTGACTATTGCATTCTTTACTTCCATGGAAACGCGTGCGATGCCAACATGGTCAGAGGGTGGCTGCAAGTTGTCGCAGACGAGGTGCTCATTTGCAGCTGTTGCCGCTAGTACTGCAAGTGTCACTACTGCCCGTGCCGCTGTTGCCCTCGGCAGTAGTGCTGCTGCTACTTCGGAAGCCTGTTGTGACACTGTTTTTACCAATGTTGTTGGAAGGCCATTCATCTGGACTGATTGCATATTTGGCTCTCTCTGTCTCGGTGCCTGCTGCCCCCTGTATTTTTGTTTTCGCTAAGAAACACACGTCTTGTCCTTGTGTACGTTCTTTAGTTGGGCATCCCTATTCTGGTCTTTGAATACCCGGGCTATGGCCTCCTCTCGGGTATTGCGTCTTCTTCTTCCGGGATCGACCGCTGTGCCAAGGTCGCTCTGGAGTTTCTCGTAGAGCAGCTGCAGTTTCCCCCGGAAAAGATCATCCTTTGTGGCCGGTGTGGACCATCAACCCTAAAGAACCAACCTTCTACCCTACAGCACTAAACTAAACACCCAAGCCCTTTACTGGGAGTTATCGGCTCAATTTCACGCTAAAGAGCGACATTTTACCGGACAGCAAAGGGGCCGCAAGCGATTGGCTTAGATCGCTGAATCGGTTTCAGTGCTTTAGGTTTATGGCTCTTTGCATTGACCCTGGAGGTGTAGGGCTTTGGGTTTTTCTGTAGGTCTATAGGGACAGGCCCTGCTGCTTTTCTCGCCTCTCGCTTAGCCAAGTGCAACTTGCAGCTGGGCGGCCTTGTGCTCATATCTCCTTTTGCATCCATGGCAGTAAGAACCTCTGTCACAGACGATTACAGGCAGCTAGCGGCCGATCGCTCATACCAGGTTCTATTCCAGGTAGCCGTAGACAATCTACCCATTCGAAGACGCGTTTGACGGTTCTTCGGCGTTTTATATAATGTCGAGACACATAAAAATTGGAAAAGTTTGCCGCTCTGTCAAGAGGCATTTGCTTTCATGCGACTTCTTATTCTTGTACACTGTGTCACTGCAGGCCCTTGCAGCTGATATGGCGGACTTGCCTGAATCGTTGGCACGTCTGGTGGTGACTCATCACTGGGACACAGAGGCGGCCCTGAAGCAATGTCAGGGGCTTCCCCTCTGCATCATTCACGGACAGGAAGTCAGCGCTTTTGTTACTGAATCTGCGGGTGCCGCTAATGCTGTTACTTGACTTGATGTTTCTGCTCTTGTTTCGGAGTGTGCTTCCACTTTGGTGTCACAGGGTCGAGTCTGAGCTCGCATCTTCGTTAGGTTTCTACTTTTGGAACAGTTTCTGTTGGTTCTGCTGATGCTTTCTCAGGACGAGATAATTCCAGTGTCACACTCTCGCCGTTTGCTTTCGAGTGCGCTTCACTCTGCTGCGCTGCGAGTGTCTCATCTTCCGCCTCATGCGAATCATTCAATTGGCTTAGAGCCTGCTGGTGTGTCTTGACTGCTGCTGTTGCTTCTGCTATGGCTGGATCTATTTCGGCTGTGGGAATATTCACTTCTCTAGTAGTTTGACTGCAGCATTGTGAACTAAACTAGCTCTGTTGTTAAGCGTCATTTGCTATGATTGTTGTCATTTACTAATGCAGCAATGAGGGAGGAGGTACTTCAGCCGCTGCAGCTATTTCTCCGTAAGGTTCGGTGTGCTGCTCGCCTGAGAAGGCAGCAACAGCTTCACCACAAGAAACACCTTGAGGCCCAAGCAAGGAGAGCAGCAGCAGCGAATGCAGCAGCCACTGCGGTTGCAGCAGCTGCTGCTGACTCCCTTGTGGGTCACCTCCAACCCCAAGTGTCCCGGCTGCTTCGTGAAAGGACCAGCTGCGTTGGCAGATGGCAATTTCAGCAGCAGCATGAGGGGCAGCTCAAGCACGATCAGCGACAGCAGCAATGTGTTAAGGCAGCATCAGTAAGTTGCGATGCGGTGAGGTATTCTGCGAAAGCCTCTGGTGCGCAGAGCAGCACAGATAGGAGCAGCAGCAGCACTAAACGATGCTTTTCAGTTAAAGGTCGCCTGACGAGCCCGCTTACTATGCAGTCAGCTGCATTCTCACTGCGCCACCGGCCTCAACACTTGGAGCACATGCAACAGCAGCAGCCGTTGCGCCGCCGATCCTTGAAGCTTGTTCGCTCGAGATTGCTTGAGGTAGACAGCAGCAGCACGGACGATGATACTGTAGAGGAAAATATACCGCAGAAGGAGCATGGGGACGAAGATATACCTGAATCGTCGTTGCCAGCATCTCACAAAGCAGAAGTGGCAGCAACTTTAGAGGCAGTGGACTCGGACGCGTCAGAAACGGAAGCAGATGGTGCAGCTGTAGCTGCAGACAACTCAGCGGCTCGCTTACCACAGTCTTTCTATGGTGACTCTGATGCTGAGGCTTCTTCAGCTCCCGTTGCGACAGTAACAGCACCTAACGCAGATTTCTTACGGAGCCGCAGCACAGATACAGGAACAGCAGCAACAACACCAGCAGCAAGAGAGAGGATCAGTGCAGCGCGGGCATTTCTGGCTTCAGAGGCTAAGATTCACCGGAGACTGCTGCTGGCGTGCAGACGCATGCAGCAGCAGCAGCGGCTGCCAATAGCCTCAGCCAACACATTTTTCACGGGCAAGGCAACAGCTCCAGCGGCAGCAGCAGGCGCTCCTGCTGTCGCTGCTGTGGCATTTTCACAACAGACAAGGCGTTTGGGGACTGTCGGTGAAGCTCCAGGTGCAGCAGCAGCAGCAGCAGCTCGGGGCATAAAGGCCCTCCACATTCCAGCTGCCAGCCCATGTGGCAAGGGAGACATCAATGGCCGAACACCAGCAGCAGCTGCCTTTGCTGCAAAGCAGTTTCTCTCAAGACAGAGGACGTGCCATTCTGCCGTTTCGGAAGGAGAACGTTCAAAATTGGGAGAACGCTCCAGCTTAAAACAGCAGCAGCATCAACACAAACAACAGCAGGAGGAGCAGCAACAGCAGGCGAGTCGGCTGCTTTGCTCCCGACGAACAATTGGTTCATCAGCAAGAAGGGCTGTCTCACTCACAGGGGGCCACATGTTTTGTAGCCAAAACGCAGAGCAGCAATAGCAGCAGCTGAAGCAGTTGCAGGCAACACAGCGCCGGGCACTCACAACGAGTCCACAGCAGCAACAAAAACGGATCCTTCCGAAGCTAGTTGGCTGGTGGCCGGCTTCAGTACCACGCCACGTTTTCTGCTGCAACAGAAGCGGAAGTAGTAGCTGCAGAGGAGCCTGAAACAGTGCGGAATGGAGTGGGAGCACCAGCAGCAACAGCTTCTACCACCAGCTTTCTCAGCAGGGTAGCTGCAGGAGGCGTTCGAAGCATCATTGAGCTGAAGCTTCAAAAGACAAGAGATCACTGAACACGACGAACTAGGGAGCCAGGCAATCTGGGGCTCGTTGCCAACTGGTCATGGCTACTTGCTGACCCTCAACAACTGCCCGTGGCTCGGGATCGTACACTTCTGCACTGTACGTGGAGCAGCAGCAGAATCAATATCAGTAGCAGTCCTAAAGGCTATACTGATGGCATCGCTCGCATATGGAGCCGCATCAGGCGCTGCCTTGTCTTCCAGTACACCCGCAGGTGGCTGCCGCGAGTTGCGGCAAAAGTAGCAGCAGCCGCTCTCGCAACAGCGGCAACTGGCGGCAGCAGCAGTTTACTAGCTGCTAAAATCGCGCCGCGGTTGCTGCTTTCGGCCTTTGCACTGGGGCTTGGCTGTAGAAGATCAAGCACCATTGCAGGGGCTGCTGCTGCAACCACAGAAACAGCAGCAGCAGCAGCAGGTTTCGTTCAACTTGCTGCACTTCCCCCCAGCGGACGACAGCCAGACCGCATTTTGCACAGAAATTACCACCATGCCGTCAGTGCTGCAGTTGGAAATGTGCACGCTGCAAGCATCGTAGCTCAGCCTTTCTATGGCGCATGTTGCTGCTCTTGCGGAGGATTGGCTGGTAAGGCTACCCGGGTGCTCACTTATTTGAGCAGCGAGAGCAGCAGTAGTGGAGGCGGCTTCGAAAAGCGAAAGCTGCGTGCCATATAACGTACGGAGCAGCGCAGAGCCAGCAGCCAAATCAGGAGTAGGGTCATCTCCTTTGCAGAGGAACAGCAGCAGTGTGCAGCAGCAGCATTGTCATCTGCTTTGCACATGAACAGCAGTATTCTGCAGCAGCAGCAGTAGCAGGAAATGGTAGGGATGCAACAGCAGCTCATGTTGCTCTCACGAATCAAGCTTTTGTGGAAGCTTCAATAGCGTTACCGAGTCGCTGCGCCTGCAGCAGCGGCACTATAATAGCAACAGCAGCAGCCGCTTGTGTTGTTGCTGCTACTGCATTTTTCTTGGTAGGTATGGTATGGGGTAGGCGTACAAGGGTGAATATCGAGACCAGAGCCGGCGTACACCGGCTGCATTTGGTTTGCTGATGGGCATTTCAGATCCACGCACGATCAGAAACAGAACGCAGCAGCTGCTGCTGCAGCAACACTAGGATGAGCTGCAGCGGCAACGTTATAGTTAAGTGGTTGGTCATACAATTGTCATACAATTTACCTCGGGAATATGTAGATCTACTTCGCTTTGGCTAGAAAGAGGAGTCCTTTGTCGCTGGCGGATGCCAAGGCGGAGGCAGACAAGGCTTGCTTGTGGGTAGTTGAAAGGGACGTGAGTAGCCCTGCACAGCAATCACAGTTTTTCTTCTAGGCGTTATTGGGTTGCTCATGGAAGGGTTCACTGCTAAACATGGTTTGTGGTTCTAGAGCCCATAACGAACTCAACTCAGTATGTGTAAAGGGTTACGACACGTGGAGCGACTAGGATATGCTATTAGCAGCAGCACCCATGGAATCAGACTTTTTGAAGAAATTTTCAGCTAAACGCAAGGCAGTGCTTTCCATTTTTGGCCCTTTGACAGCAGCAGATGAAGTGAAATTCCCAACAACTGAACTGACGTAAGCAGCGACAATGGAACCACCAACAGGTGCATCAAAAAGCATAGGGGTGAATGCATTGGCAGCTGTTGCAGGGGTACAGCAGAACTTCGGCAGTGCTACAGCAGACGCGGATAGACAAAAGCACCAGGTGCAGCAGAAACAACAGCCGCAGCAGTGGAATTACACATGCTGCATCAGGCTGCAGTGTTTGTGGAGCAAAGGTGCATAAGCGGCCTGAGCACCACCAAGAGCAGCGGCAGGAGCAGTAGACCCACTCCTTTTTGCGATTTGAATTACAGTTGGTCATGCATTGGGGGAAAGTTTCCGATGCAATTGGTATATAATAGGTCACGCATTCAAGACAAAGCCCATAAAATTTACGAGCCACAGTTCCTGTGACAGATCGGCTGCCTCTGCACTGCTCTTTGATTTGGACTTTCGCTGATGCTGCAGCAGTACCTCGAAGTGCTGCAGATTGTTCTGCTGGCTGTACTGTTTTTGCTGCCGCAAGTAGTTCCCAGTGACGGCTTACACTTGAGCTGATGCAGAACCTCTTGATTTTGCGTTTGCTGCACCAGGTGCATATGTTGACAGCAAACTACAAAATCATCTGCTACAATAGGGGGCTTGCTGCTGCCAGAAGGCAATTTCACTGCATGCTTATACAGACAACATAAACTTGTGCCTAGAAAGCCAATGCTGTGTTGCTGCTGCTAGTTATTTATCGGGCCTTTAGCGGCTTACACACGAGTATTGGCCTTGCGAAGTAATGCGCAGAAGCAAGATGCGCGGCTCATGAACTTTTAACGCAAAAAACGTGTGGCCCACAGCAGTGGCCGGCGGGCTTTTGGGCTGTAGTGCGAAAGGGCTTGTGGAGTGCTCCAAAAACACCCTTAAAAGGCCCCAATTCGGCACTGCATAAGGGACTGCTCTCCACATTCTACGCAATATTCTGTCGAAAAAGCAACGCTGGTTTGGCACAAATCTGATATAGGAAGCCAGGATTGTATAACCGCTGCTGCCCTCAACAGATCTACAAGGATGTACACATATATATATACACATATATGAAGAAGCATTGAAAAGTTAGAATCTGCACCTTTTAACTGAGTAGAAAGTAATATCGGTTCACATTTGGGGCTTCAAACAAAGTCGCTTCCAGTTCGTTCCAATTTCTAGTTGTAACTGAGCAGCAAATAGTGCAATTGTGGTGCTCATTTTATAGAGAAAATGCGTCCTATATTTTTACTTCCGGGCTGATGTTGAGTTGAAAAGCAGCCATCAGTCTTAAGTTTAGTCCTTGCTGTTCCCAATTTCGTCTAAATCCGTCTGACTTCACAGCAGTTGATAGGAAGTTTTAGTTCTTGTTGTTCCCAATTTCGTCTAAATCCGTCTGACTTCACAGCAGTTGATGGAAATCAAAAGGCAAGCTACGAAGAGGCGCTAGATTCAAAGAAAGTGCCTTACAATTTCGGGCGTAGGGTACTGGGTCACCAGAGCAAGTCTGATGGGAGCCTTTTCGAGGCTTTCCACTAGGTGTAACTCATCCTAAACTTAACAGACTAGGACACAGGAAAGCATCATGAGCCGCACCCTCTTCTTCAGCGGCTACTGATGCTGCTCCTACTGGAAGAGCACAGCTAGCAAAGGAAAAGTGTTGGAGAAGCAGCACTGGCTGAAGCATCAGCAGCCGCAGCACAAATTTTAGCAACTGCAGCACTTTCACTTGCAGCATCCAAAGCAAATACTGCAGCAGCAGCTGGCTCAAATTGTTTTCGTTGCATGGGATTTTTCAACCAGCCTTCCAGCACTTGCTGAGGCGACGAAGTAACATCTGAGAGTAACACCTAGAAAGGGAGGAACTGCCTCTGGAGGCTCGAAAGTGCAGAGGCCACCAAACATCCAGGAGCGTCTCATTTCTGCAGCCTGTCGCTGCTACTTGCTGCTGCTGTTTGTTATTGCTTCTTGCTTTCGCTGCTCGTTCTTGCTCCGTGATGTAGCCGCGTCCTGCTGCTGCTGCTCGGTGCTGCTTCTTGCTTCTGCTTCGTGCTGCGTGCTGCTGCTTTTTGCCGCTTCTGCCCGCTGTTGTTTCTTGCTGGTGCTGGATGGTTCTGCCGGTATTTCTGCTTGCTATTGCTGCTTGATGCTGCTTGCTGCTGTTTGCTGCTGTTGCTACTTGCTGCGGTTTCTGCTGCTTACTGTTGCGTGCCGCTGCGGCTGCTGCGCGCTGTTCCCACGTGGTGCTGCTTTTACTTGCTGCTACTTGATGCTGCTGCTGTTTGCTGCCTCTTGCTTCTGCAGGGTTGTAGGGCTGCTGGCTGCTGCTGCTCGCTGCTGTTGCTTCATGCTACTTCCGGCTGCTGTTGTTTGTTGCGGTCCCGTATTGCTGCTTCTTGGTGCTGTCGCTTACTGCTGCTGCTTGCTTCTGCCGCTTGCTGCTGATACGTGCTGTTGCACGCTATTTGCTGCCGCTGCTGCCTGCTGCTCGCTAGTGGTCAGTGCCGCTATTTGCTGCTGCTGCTTGCTGCTGCTGCAAGCTGCTGTGTATTGCTGTAGTGGCCTTATGCTGTATGTTACTGCTATTGCTTGCTGCTGCATCTTATTTTTTGCCGCTGCTGCTTCTGCTTTCTGGTGCTGGCAGCTGCTGCTACTTCGTGCTGCTTGCGGCTGTTACACCGTGATTCGAAGAAGATCAAGAAGCTCGCTCCTCGATGGAGATCCACGATGATCTCCCGAACATGCTTCGGAAGCCGTTGAGCCTGCAGGACAGTGTGTATGAGCTTGTGAGGGATAGATGACTTCTTGCTTCTGCGAGTGGAGTTTAGAATACTTTGGGCAAGGAAGAGATGCTCATGGCATCCGTTTATTGGCATGAAACCCTTCTGCGACTTGGAGGCGATGCCCGACTGTATTGCCCAGTGGTCCTAGTAGCCCACAGCGCTGCGTAAAGTTTGTATATGCAGTCCTGTAGGCTGATGGGTCGCCAATTCTTAATGCTATTTGGGTCTCCTCCATTCGAAAGCAACACCGTCACACTTTGCTTCCACTTCGCTGGCACTCTACGATGCCGGGAACAGGCGTTGTAGAACGCAGTCATCGCTGGGACAAGCACATCTTCAAACCGCTTGTACACGAAG